ATGACAATGAGCCGACCTCAGTGGCGTTCCTTCTGTGTTTCTTTGTCCTACCCCATCCCTTCAAGCTTCCCCCTCCATCTACCATCTCATTTCGTAGCGTAAAACCATACTTTTCCTTTTTGCCTAGTAGCTGACTGGTAGCTTACCGGAACGATGCCTATCCGTTGTTGGTAGCTCAGCTGGCATGCAACGGTTGCGTTTATTTTCCTTTGTGTATTGCGGCACAGTAGCTGAGGTGTTTCCCACCTCTAGCTGACGTGTATAATGATGATGGTGATGACTGGTAAGGCATAGGTTCAGTCACTGGAGGCTATGGCTCCAACCTTCGCTGGTTTCAGTTGGTGACCCTTATACATCCTTTGTCGCTGGCATTCGTTTAGCCCCAACACTTTATGTATATAAGCGGCTGACTGGGAATGCACGAATTAAACTGCATCCCGTCTATCCCACGAAATGTTGTTTGTCCTTGCTATAGTAAACTTAGTAAATGGTAGTAGTTGCTAGATTTAGTGCTCCATTGGTTAGCATCCATGGTAGCCGAAGCATTAAGGAATTATTAGAAGAGTTCCTTATATTGCTTGGGCACATTACTGCCGGGTTGCCCAGGCCTAGCCAGGGAACGATTATGGTTCTCAATCAAAACGTTTGGTTAGTTGGACCTCAAGGTAACGAGGCTTTGGAGGTGGACTACAGCGAGACATTTTGTGGAGCAATGAACCATCCTCACTCCAACCCCCAATTTGAAGGAGCAAGGAACTCGTTTTGTCTGGCTTCTAACTATTGACCAATCAGGTATAAGTGGCTCTGAAGGTGCAGAGGGCACCACCCAACACAGTCGTGGAGAGACGTAAACCATCACACCACCTTAAGGTCCAGTCCCGACGTCAGTTGTAGTAGTATTAGCATAATGAAAAGCCACCGAAGAATAAGCTTTTTTGCCAGCTTTCACCTCTCGAGCGTGATAACTTGGTGAAAATGCGCGAAAGCCAAATCTGTGCAGTGATGCCAGTGTGGCACACTTCATGGTCACATCTGTAGGGTTATTTAAATAGCTACGTTTTACTTAGTTACTTGCTTGATGACTACGCTACGTTACTCTCTTCCAAGCTCTTTACTTTTGTTTACTCCACATCGGCCCTGTATTCGTGAGTTTGAGCTAGCTTAAGTACGTTTTTGCTCATCGGCGACCACCATAAGTGTAGCGAGCCCGGCACACTATGGACATATGTTGTGCTCTCCCACTACCAGAGACTGCTTGTCTCGCCAGTGTCCTGCGCCAGTTTGCTGAGCTTAAAAGTGGTAAACCGTTGCCACCTATGATCAAGTTTCAGTTTTTCGCCAGCCTTCTATAGGTTGGATGTCAACAATGGCTTTGTTTAACATCGCTCCATTAAATTGTCTGGTAATCGCTGTTCTGATAGCATTTGGTGTGTGCTTGCTGCTATATGCAGCTAAATGATAGTGATGGTCTTGTACAGCTGGAGTGATCAGTGATCAATGAAGGGACCATGCGGCCAACAGATAGTGAGCCTGACGAATTCGTCCATTGGACACAACAAACATAGGTACTCGCTAACGTCATTCAACCGATTGCTTGCCTAATTGAGTCAAAGGAAGAACCCACTCGGCCCAGAGCCGTTTATGAATATGGATGAAGAGTATGATTATCGATGCGTTTTATGAGCCAGACATGCTGTTCTTCTTGCTGATTTATCTTTCCTGGAGGACTGCTTTTTGAGACAGTGCATTGCGGTGGCGGGCAAGTAGTCGCCCTGTAATATTTTTCTATCACAGGAATTCACCGAATGTCACGTGGTACTCGTATTGATGGATCGTAAACCAGCTCCAAAACAGTCGTGGCTAACAACACCATCCCTCCATTTATTCTTGTCGGGTTTGCATTGGATACGCTATGTGTGGGTGGAGTTGCGCAATTGTACCACAGACCTCCCATGCTTTTTAATGAATACTGTACAGAGAATTAATAGACATACATCTGTGTCACTCCATCGTGGTTAGTTCAGGAACGTGCACGGAATCATGTCACTGAATCCTGCGCCTTTCCTGCGTATCACAGATGCGCCATATGCTGCCATATGCGCTCCCTGTATCTTAAGTCCGCAAAGTGGGAATCTAGGATTTTATTGAATTCGAACACCGACTTTGCCTCGATCCTTTTCCCTGTCAAACACCTCCAGTATTTCACCACTCGGCGCTCGAAGCATAGAGGATGAGCTGCCCGCTTTAGGTCCGATGTCACTAACTTGTACAGGTGCCCGCGAGTGCTGCTTGGTGCGCGCACGTAAAGCAGCAGCATCACATGGGTAAGTAACCGAGATGCAATATTTGATGCGTCATAATGTGGTCAATTCTAAACCGACGTTACGATGGGATGTACAACCCTGGTCGTCTGCATCGGACTTTGTACGGCATACCCCGCAAAATTGGGATGAGCCTTGCATCCACCTGCTGAAAACGTTCCAGTTTTTGCTCCTCGACACGCATGTTTGGACTACAGGCGGGTCATGAGTCTTATGATGGAAGAGGCGTGCGGTAATCTCTTCAGACCAAATGCAGAAACTACCTTTTAGCCCCCAAAGCATGCGCATTCCATTTCCATTAGCGTGTTCATATCGTCCACGGACTTCGAATCGCAGCATAAGAGTTCGCCGAGATCCTTTACGAAAGATATGCGATGTGTCGTTTGGCCGGCCAGTGTGTACTTAGGCCTACCAATACCTTCCCCAGATCCATATATAACGATTTTACTGGGTTGACCGGCAGATCGACATCTGCAGACCACCTGGACAGTCGTCGGGTGCATCAATTATTTTCCAACTCTTCAGACGGTCTGCAAACATGACATAAGGTGACCGAAGAAGTTGAGACATTATTTTGATGTGGATCAGAAATAAAATGTGCCCCAATACTGTACTTTGGGATATCCAAATGGTGGAGGGATACCATGATCACAGGGGTATTAGCCTAATGTCCGTTGCGATAACATTATTGACCCCAATTCTCGTTCGTCGTCTCACTACGAAACTTGAATCTCGGAGTAGGGAAGAGCAGGCAGGTTTCCGCCCGGGACGGAGTTGTGTAGACCATATATTCACGCTGCGTCAAGTGTTAGACCAGCGCCACACATACCGCAGACCGACAATAGCTGTGCGTTTGGATTTCATGAGTGCGTTCGATTCAGTCGATCGACGTATTCTGTTCGAAATATTTGCGCGGAATGGTGGTGAAATATGTGAACATTATACGTGCTCTATACTCGAACGCTAAAGTTCGCGTCAGTGTCTACGTTGACTTATCGGATATTTTCCCGAAAACCAATGGCGTTCGTCAGGTTTGTCCAGTTTCCTCATTTTTGTTCAATTTCGTCGCGAACTCCATCATGGAGTGTTCCTTTACGCCGCCTCACGATGCTGGCGTTGAGCTCCTGCCTGGTGGATGTTAGTTGATCTTAATTATGCGGAGGATATCGTGCTACTTTTTCACGACGTTGGAGTGGCGTAGTTAACCCTGAATAACTTCTCTAGATTGGTCCAGTTACTTGGTATGCGCCTCGCATCTTCAAAGCGCAGTGTTCCTGCAGCACCACCAGGTACTCGATGACCCTTGACCCTTGATGATGAGGAACTCGAGGTAGTTGATCAATGCGCGTCATCAACGATGGGTACCTGGCAACTGAAGTCAGTTCATTCATTGCAAATCCCAGTACTGCCTTCTTGAATCTGCGACATTTATCGCGATGGAAACTTGTTTTTCTCCGTCTGAAAGGCCGTGTTTACAAGACCATAGTGAAGGCCCTCCTACTTTGTGGGAGCGGAACTTTGCCCCTTCATTCTGAGGACCCAATGCGCTTTCAAGTCTTTGATTACTGTTGTCTGCGGAGCATTGTTGGCGTCGCGTGGCACCAGCATGTCCGCAACAATGATTTGCGCAGGCGAGTGCTAGGCTGTGATACTCAAACTAGTTCCTCAGAACTGCAGATAGCTCTGAATAGTTGGGTTGACTTGGGCACGTACTATGTATGCCTGGTCACTGCTTACTGATATAGGATGGCGCAAGGCTCGAAGTGGACGAAAGTTGACTTGGCAGTGGGAAATGAAGTCACTGACGACCATACTGGGTGCCGTCGATCCGTTTCGCCTTCCAAGCTGATGTCCACCTGACTCATCTTGTGCTTGGCTCGAGAAGTTACAGCACTTGGATCGCAGTCGACGCCAGTGTCGCGTCTGCTGCCGTCTCCTAGTCGGACTGCCTGTAAAGTGTGTTTGGTGCTGAGTCATCTGTGGAGTAATGGCTGATTAGGACGCGAGGCAGTGAAAGTCGCAAGGAAGCTGTCTCGCTGATGCCACCTTCTCTTTGCACGATAGTCATCTGTTTATGGCGGTATGTTCTTGACAAGGTGTAGGCGCCTTGACTCTGAATGTTTGCTTAGGGCATTAATGTTTTCCGGTAAGTCCCCCTTCTGTCCCTCTTATTATTCTTTGTTACGTAGGTCGTTGTGGTTGTGGCAGCGAAGCATCAGTTCTATTGGCTGATGATGGTGATGAGGGTACCGGTCCGTTATACGATCATCCACATGTACCCTATATTTTCGTCCAATAATTCACTGATCAACTTGTGTAGTGAGCTACCAACACCGCACATCCTCAGCTTGTTGAGGGTGATCTCATTGTTCACTATGTCGAACGCTTTACTAAAATCAACGTGGTGAGCTCAGACACCACGTGTATGTTCGCAACCACCGTGGTAGTCGGGTACGGAAATGTGTTCCGTCATCTACTGCCTTCATACCTACAAGACATTCCCCCAATTTTCTCCTTTTCGTGTCACATTCCTTCTCGTCTACTTATTTCAATTCAAACTTCGCCACTCCCACATTTCTCCGATTTTTCTGTTTATCATTCATGCACGATTGGAATGCTTTAATTTGCTTATCCATTCTTACTTTCAGCTTTCCATCCTCCGGGTGCGAATTCTTCATAATGGTCGTCGCAGATATTGGTCTTATTGGTCTGGCCGTGATGGGACAAAATTTGGTGCTAAACATGAATGACCACGGATTCACTGTAAATCCCTCTCCTTTAACCAAGCTGATCTGCTTATTTCCCATTAAAAGGTAGCCGTTTTCAACCGAACAGTGTCTAAAGTTGATGAATTCTTATCTGCTAGTGCCAAAGGAACAAAAGTGATTGGTACTCATAGTTTGGAAGAGTTCACGGCTAAGCTCAAAAAACCCCGGATCGCCTTGTTGCTTGTGAAGGCTGGAAGTGCGGTAGATGACTTCATCGAAAAACTGGTACGTCCTCGAGTAGCTGTTGATTTTCGGCGACACAAGAATTGCTTTCTTCCGTTGCTTCATATATCCGGTTTTAGAATAAGAGAAACCTGAACTATCCCCGTTTATTCCCCTCTTCATTAGCTCCCGTTTCTTGAGGAGGGCGACATTATCATTGATGGTGGAAACTCAGCGTACATGGATACTGATCGCCGCTGCAATGAACTGGCGAAGAAGGGAATCCTCTTCGTTGGATCCGGCGTTTCCGGTGGCGAGGAGGGCGCCCGTTACGGACCAAGTTTGATGCCCGGAGGCAACCCAAAAGCTTGGTAATTGCCTGCTTTAACTTTGCAGCCTTTCTTAGTATTGCTATGGCACTCGACTGTTCGTACCAATATTGATGTAGTTTCCTAATCGTGGTTCTGTTGATCCGTTGCCGAAGGGTCACGGTGTCTGTCCGCGTAGGTGCGAGTGCCCTCGCAGTACTCACTGCCCATACTCGGCTATTCGTGCTTGCGTGGCGACGAAGAGATGACACTGCCTGCCGACATATTACTTATCCCATGTCATGACAGGATTATTTGGCCCTGCTCTCATGATAGCGAAATATGGTTGACTTACAGCCCTAAACCTCATCAACCTAACCTTACATATTGCATATCAAACGCAACGCCTCCCATCGTATAAAGCTGCGAAATCTTAACTTTTATGATCGCCCTCTCGAATTGGGTGCTCTGGTTACGTATGTGTGCAGGAACAGATGCCATTAAGTCATTTATATGCAGCCATCTCTCATTTAAACTTTTCGATTGTCTCGGTATTGTCATGCTACCACTTTTTAATCTACCGCGCAATTGATTCAGCATGTATTGTACTTTAACCAGCTTCGAGTACACCGAATCTCTATCCTTCCATGCTCTTGTTTCATCTAGTCTCTTAGTTTAGTTTTTAGTTTAACAATTATGATCCGAGCACTGAGATGCGGTTGATCCCAGTGCCACGACTCACGTCGCCATCGACTGGACCTTAATGTATCACCTGGCATCATCCATTTGACCTCCCTCTAGTTTGTAGAGAGAAATTCTCTGACTCGTAAATCGTACTTTTCATCAACCTTTTTCACACTGTTGTCCTTCTCGTGTTTGGCGCATCTGCATACGAAGGGACCTGGTGAATGACAGTTTAGTTGGTCGGTTTAGAAATGGGCGATAACTTTTGCTTCAGCTCGCATTTGAGATGGACCCATCTCTTACTGGATGGCAAACCTGCGGCGATTTCGCACCTCATTTTACTGCATCATTGTCCCTAATTACTTGAGTGAGTTTCATGTAATTTACTCCACATTAAGCGCGACAGTAGAGGATCTACCTTGTGACCACCTTCGCTTTCACTTTCTAGTTTATTTGTCTACCTGACGCGTTGCTTATGACTACGAACTCAATCTATCAGGTAAACCAGTAAGGTTGTATAAACTCTGCTAAATTTTTAGTGTGACATGTGAATCACCCATTTCGTCATTCCGGTGGTTTCTACTCTCCTCGTCACTTGTTTGCATCTCGATTGTGTCCCAGTCTGTCGTTTGCAGTTGCTACTCATAGCTGGTAACGCGCCTATGACCCCAAACTTCATCGATCCGCACTGTCCGGCTGGAACATTTATTCGCGTGATATCTCCTTCATATGGCTAAATGTTAGATAGTGCTCACTTCGAACAGTCCGCTCCACCACCAGTTTCGTGTTTGCATGAAATTTTCATGCAGAAAGAGCTCGAGACCGGTACACGAATGTCGTCAGCTTAATATGTTACTGTCGCGTCTCTGAGCTCTGCGAGCACATTGAAATTGCATGCTGCGATGTATCCCCACAACAGGTTTATTTGGATACCTCTTAATCGCTTTTACATTTTAATCCAAATATCATGGCTGCTTGTTTGCCCACAGGCCGCACATTCAACCTATTTTCCAGGCCATTGCCGCCAAAGCGCAATCAGGAGAGCCGTGCTGCGGATGGGTAAGTTCTGTTTCGTGTCCAATGTGGCAGATCCATTTTTTCAAAATCGCTACTTTGTACTCCTAGAACTTGTCGCAATTCTCCGGGTTTTGCTTTATACCGTTGTTAAAAATACAACAATTCTAGATCAATGTACGATCCGATCTGGAGACTAATATTGGTTCTGCGTTTCTCCTTTCATCCAAATAAAAGAACGGTGTATATTCCTCGACAGTGCAAAGCACAGTCCAGCTGAGTGATCTGATCAATTTGTGAAGTGGAATCACATGAAACAGCTAATTGTTCAGGCCGGATTCAGAACGACATTTTTGGGATAATCGATCGGTTGAATGTATTAGAAAAACTTCGCAGTTGACAGAAATAACAAATACAAGTATAGCCAGACGTTCGAGTGAAGTACTACGGCCATCCGAGGAACCGTCGTCATCTTGAGACTGGCTACTTAATCATTCGAAAAGTTTCACCCTCACTTCTATGCTCCATGTGACCGTGTACTGGTTGTGGCTCTAAAGCAAGTATGCCCTCATCGCTCTAACTCATCTTGGGGCCGTTATTATGTGTATGCCATATGGGCATTCCACTTATTCTGCCCATTCCACCATTTAACACTTTCGAGTCCAGTACGTTTTATTACATACAAATGATTTTATGGCAATTCCTCTTGCGTGCATGTACTTATTAGCTTGGAAACTTCAATTTGTCACCTAGTCAGTCAAGTCAAATCAGCTTTAGATATCCAAATGGATACATTTTCAGCGCTTTACAATGCATGAGCTAAAATTACATTATCGGCACTAAATAAGTATGAATGGATAAAATGACACTGTGTAGAAGTGTCACTTGAATAAATGATCAGTGTAAAGAGCAACAATCAAACAGTTCCGGACAAAGTAATTTAAAGCCAGCGTCGCAAGCCAGATTTTCAATCGGAACCGTCCATATTCACGTGCTCAGTATCTTGAATTTTTCTCAAACATTACACGAAGGACAGCAGCGATGACCTTGGAAATAGCTTGACGAATATCGATGTTTAAATATTCTGAGAAAACCGATGTATCCATAGCGAATTGTAAAAGCGATGTTCAGTGACAACGACACGGCCGATTTAAAGACCAACATTCAAACATTGAAAACAAAATAGAATGGAATGGCAATACAAAAATAGCTGATATATTTTACCAGTACCAGACAGTCCGAACGTGCACCATGCTGTTTATATGCACAGGGCATCGCATTGACCCTACTCAGTCTGGCGATGCTGGGGTAAATCTTTCTCCCGTTAGTTTCACTAGCAAGCGAAGCTGTCTACTTGTTTCAGTTAAGTATTTCCAAGGGTGTGCACCATAACTTTTTTTTTACTGGCTTGACTGTCTCAACGAGACTAGACCTTAACTTGGTTCGACGGTTCGTGTGCTTCTTCGAGTCATCTAGCTATACTGTGTGGTGCCTCCCGGACCCCTTGAGTGTTGCTCATACCAGGTCTGTCTAAGTTCAGAGGTCAGACGAACTCAGTCTGTTTGTCCTCCAAGTTTTGGTTGGAAATGGAATGGCGTCCATTCCTGTAAAACCGGATGGCTGTCATTTCCCCGTTGCCTTCCTGGCAGACTTTGAATCAAGGACTGGTTGAGGACCCTGCTCGGTATCCTATCTAGGTTTTGGCGTCCTGGCAGTAGCTGGGTCCACGTAAAACCATGGCTGTTTGATTATAAACCTTAACACAAAACGGCCGCACGGTTTAATCCTGGAAAATTTTCTCATGTTTTTACTTGCATACCTGAAATCGTGTGAATTAATAGCATCATGAAATGAGTATAGTTGAAATATCAAATTGAAAAATCGGTGCCCATATACATACATGTCACCTTGTCATCTGTTCCCGGCCCGGTACCACGGTAGAACCAGACTCACAAACGCGCCTTTCTGCACACACAGAGTAGACCCAAGTTGTTTGATGGCCACGACGTTTAGATCACATTATTTTATCCACGACCACGATTTTCTTAATGTATCCTTACTCTTGTTACTCTATGATTAAAGAATTCCATAAATGCAGTCTACTCTACCGATCTTGTATCCGAGCTGTGTTGGTGGTAACCACCCGACGGGTTTGGTTCAGAGTGGTAAATCTGTGCATTTATGCTGGGCAGCACCGAGCCGCGGCCAATGACTCACCGCCATCACTTATATCTAAAAGTTGACGGGGTTCCCTGGAGTTCGAACTCAAGGTGTGTAGGTGTCCGGTAGATGTGCTTGCACATCATCGTGTATCATGATGCTTTCATGGGTAACTGATGTGAATCCGCCTTGATACTCGTGTTCGGCCGCGACAGACGAGTGGTCGAGATAGACCTACTTACTTTCCCGTGAAGTCTTTCTCCTAGCCATGCATATTCACTTCGCCTAGCGGTACTTCTTTCCAATTTCTGCTCTCATTCGCGAACACCTTTACTAAAATTTACTATCGGGCAGCATTATTCTGCTGTTTTGCTGTTATTTTAGACTGTCACTTATCCTGATTCTAAGCTATCTCTTTGCTTTCAGAACTGAGGCCCCCTGAATCTCCTACTATCGTTCCACCAAATTTATCGATAGACACTTATTTAGCACTGAGTTAATTCCAAGTTTGATATAAAGGCTTACTTTTTCCGCCCTTTCACTGTTCTGTTTTCTGTTTAGACTGGTTACGGTGGTGCCGGTCATTTTGTTAAAATGGTTCACAATGGCATTGAATATGCCGATATGCAACTGACTTCAGAGGCTTATCATCTGATGCGTGAAATTGTCGGTCTTTCCAACGATGAAATGTCGCAGGTCAGTATGCATTTCCAGTCTCTTTAGGCTCATGTTTCCTTGATACATCACCATGGGTTGACCCTAATTCTTCACGGCGGCGAATGCTTCATCATCTGCCACTTTCTTGACTAAACTCCATGCTGTTTATGCAACAAAACGTAAAGCATCATGATCCACCGTCACACAGCTGGATGTATCTCACATTGTCGATAACTAAACCACCACCATTCATCTTCACCTTAACGCGTTGCATTTTCAACCAACTCACATCTACTTAGTTTCCGTATTTCATGGGGAATCAGTCGATAAAATCTCTCCATGAATTGCATCCCGGAGTTTCTCCAACACTTTCGATGATCTAGTACATTTCCCCCCGTTGCACTGAAGCATCCAAATCGCTAATCATGTACAACAAAGGTAACAACATTTTCGATTGCTTGAAATGATTGTTGTTCGCTAACGACATTTCTTTCAAAAGTCATATCGGATTCATCAAAAGATATCGTCTAGGTGGCATATCGTTTTCAATGCGGTGGCTTGATAATAACTAACCAAATAGTATATTCTCGACAACGTGAGGCACGCCTGCACAGGCATGATCATAGTAATACCAACATGAATGATCGCCAATGTACAATAATGTTGCAGGGTTAGCAGTATCATACTGGATCTATATATATATATATATATATATATATATATATATATATATATATATATATATATATATATATATATATATATATATATATATCGGTATGAATGTTTGTAACTATGTTGCTTGAACTTGTAGATGCGACGCCGCAGTTGTGATTGTGTTCATTTGGGTCGTCTACTTGAGAAGTAGTGAAAGGGAATCTTCGTACTGGATGACTGGCATCCGTGGTGTGTGTAGCAGCATGTACATAGTGGCGTGTCATATCCGCCACATCGCGGTGTTGTTAAACACACTTGTGGCCTTTTATAGGGAGAACGCTTGCCAGACGTAAACCCACCACCTCCTGAAACACTGCAGCCGTACAGTTCGCTGGAACAAGATTAACCCGAACCTCCCAGCTGGCACCACGAGGAGGTTGTTCGGCGAGTGACTGTTCCCATAACAGAGCCAAATCCTTAGCTATGGCTATGATCATGCCCTTGCATGGGTGAGATTGGTATTCACTAGTAGTGTCTGTGCTGCTAAAAGTCTTAAACTACACGACCTTTGTTAGCTGCTAGCTTTTGTGTAACAGCTTTTCCTACTAGTTGTGTATTTTTGGTCCATCCTGAAACTATTTGTTGGACGGTTTACCTGATGAAAACACTGCTGTTATCGAGCTCTGATCCACGAAACTCCCATGGTCAATTCGGAATATTCTTGCATTTACACCGGGCCTGATACTAGCTATTCTACAGGATAGTATATCTGACGAGAAATAAATTAGAACGAACAAGTACTTTTTCTTGGTTGGAGGGGTCATTTTGAAGCACATGTTATGCAATTGGATTGCGACACACAATCTCGATGTGGACTGTGATCCGCATCGAAGTGAACTCTGGTCAATTCGACCACTGAGGCCTCGGAAGCAGATGTACATTAAATGTTCGCGTCTGAGAACATTGCACTTAACGTTCGGTTTCTATCCTAATTAATCTCATCAGCTTGGAGATAGCAGGCCTCGAACCCGAGACCATTGAGATGTTTCTTAGTACCTCTAAGTCTTTAGCCGCCGGATCACGGCGAGAAACACTTGTGAGAGCGGTTATTAACTGATTAAAGGGTCGTTTGAGGTACTGGTTATGTGATTGGATTGCGACGCGGAATCTAAATGTGTACCGTGATTCGCATGGAAACGAGCCTTGGCCAATTCGACCACGAAGACCGTAACTATAACGGATGGGAATTAAGTGTTACCCGCTCGAAAACGCTTACTCCGCGATGCGTTTCGACGTTATTTGATTCCATCAGATAGATATCAGGCATCGAACGCGGGACCATTGGGGTTAGTTGCGACCTCTACCGTTTTAGCCACTGTGTCGGCTGATCTCCCACTCAATCAGCTGTCGTTTTTCTTCGTACAGTTGGTCTAAACATTTTGTCGGAAGCCTCCAAGTGAAATTGTGCTGCGACTTTACTTTGGTTAGATTGGAACATTCCATCTGGTTTAACGGATTTCGCATGAGCATCAAGTTATGCTTCAGTCGCCGCAGCGTAAGTGCTTCGATATGATACTCATGAAAACGCTCTTGTTAGTTCAAGGTGGACGCTTTACCAAACATGCGTTTAGTGAATGATCTACGCATGTTTCCCATAACATTTTTGTCACCCATACGCATGGTTCCATAAACTATTCTACGGTACTCAAGGATGTTAAGAGTACTGATTTCGAACAGTTCGATTTTGGCAGAATTTGTGTGGATTTTATGGCATCTGTTAGCTATGGATTGTCTAACTTGCGGCCTTTGATATTCAGCCTGCTCTGAAAAGTTGATTTTATAAGAATATCATATACCGTGATCACAATTAGACAGATTTGGACGGGTAGTTTTACACATATGCGCATGATTGAGTTTAAATAACTCTTCGAAGATCGCATATCCGTGGGACATTGTGTTTGATTTATTAGCTGAGAACTTCGCCAGATATGTTTCACGCCATTTCTCGAGTGAGTCGATGTCTTCTTGACCGAGCAGCATTGTGCTTTGGAGTTTGTCTCGTCGATATTTACATACAAATAAAAGTTATGTGCTATGTTTGATGGACTTGCTGATATCGTTAACTTAGAACAAGGAAAGCGAAGGACCAAGTACGCTTTACTGGATGACACCTCTAGTGACTGGACGTGGAGATGAGTAGTGGTTATACAAAGTGACTGTCTGGTAACGTCCACTTAGGTATGAGATCATCCATTTCAGTCGCGAGACTCCGATCCCAGTGAACTCTACTTGTTTCAGCAGTCGCTTGTGAGGTACCCGATCGAATGCCTTTTACATATCCAGGATTAAAACTACAATAGCATAACTGAAGTCAATGGATTTTAGCACTGTAATCCAGGTAATGAGACTAACAGGTTGTGCAGGAGAGTTTATCGATAGGTCCATGCTGGATTTATCAGGCAGTTCAATACTATAGATGAATGTCATTATTCCACTTTAAATTATTTTTTCAGGCAGTTTGGCAAATATGAGAGTGCGATGGATTGGCTGGTAATTAGCAATGTTCTGTTTGGATCCTGCTTTATGACGATGGATAATAAACGATGCTTCCCATCGATCCGGAAAATGGCCAGATTCTAATGACAAGGTGAAGATGTCCAGCAAACATAGTGGTTCGTCACGCCCCCTAACTTCGTAGCGGACGGGGAATGCCATCAGCAACTAGCCTGAACGATGGTTTGTTAGACTTCATAACCTGATGTATGTTCGAAAGGGATATCTCGACGTTGCATAGGACGCTTTTCACAAATTCCTGATAGGAGTATATGGAGTCTTTTTCTAGGCTTATGGAGGTGGCGAAGTAGAAACTAAACGTTTCACAGATATTGGATGGGTTATTTAGAGAACAGCCTTCCCCATGGATTAGTCCCGTGTTCGGTAAAGCCCCGATGTTAGTTCCACGACTAGCTCGTTTACATGCATTCCGTATGGCGATATCCTCTTTTAATCCGCATCACATATGCTATAGGTGGTGGATTTGTGCATTTGTAATATTAATGCGAAGTATTTGGTCTTATCACATGTTGCTTTGATTTTGAGTAGAGATCCTTACGAACAATTTGGAACTGAAGGGGGACATTTGCTTCCATTGCTTCATCCTCAAACTAACACAATCAGCTGCACAGTGCGACTATTTCTATAACGCGACGCATTAAGCAACAAAATGTTGGGTGCCTGGATTGTCTATCCGTTTTCCCACTTGTAATACTTGCAGAAGCCAACGTCAATATGTGTATGGACTAACCGCCAAATCAACAGTTAGCACTCTCTAGACTACCTTACATGCCACCTCGATTGGTGGCGGCTTAAAGTGTGTGGGATCGGATATCGCTCTCTTCACATTTCTCACATCTACGACGGTGGAAGATGAGCCGCGATGTGTAAGAGCTAACAATCCCTCACGACTGTCAGCCGATGTCACCCAGTCTATTAGCATAAGTCGCTGACTCAAACGCCCAAGTCGTGAGTTCGAACCTCGAAGTGGATGGGGGAGTACGCGCTATCGGCGAGTTTCGCTAGGGTGAAATGGTTACCCGATGCTTCCCCCGATGTGAAGTGGGTTGTCTCCTTGGAGGTTTGCTGCGACGAATCTCCTAGGTAATCAGGGTTGTCTCCAACTCTGTATTGGGGACGACCTGGCATATCTAACATCTTTCCTTTTCAGTCTGGGTCACAACAGAGGTATCAGGTCTGGTTACGTTGGATGCGAGTATTGGCGAAGTGTCTACAATATTGCATCGACTTCAGAAGAATGCTGATCGTTACCAATTGCTCGAGACAATTTTAGGCCTACTGAGCGTTTTCATCATGAGTCTATTTACTGTCCACTCATTTTCACGGCTACTTCTGGTACGAATGATCCCCTAACCTTAGATCAGTACTATGCCTGTTTGAGGAATGGTGGTCAGTCAGGAATCAACTGTGGCTTCTGTATGCAAATCTCCTAGTCTTATTCCTTCGGGGTTGCAGGGAATTTTGGATCTGTGAGTGTAGGTGTGTGTGTGTGTGTGACACAACGCAAACCACTCGGGTCTCTGTATACGCAGGTTTTCTCTGCTTATCTGTACTCCTTGTCACAAACAAACCTAGAAACGAACGCGGCCAGCCTCAGAAATCCACTCGTTCGGCTTTCACCTTTGCTAACCTCCAGATTATTTTGGCGACACTTTATTACATGATCATAGCTAAGGAGGATATGGTTAAGACGAACGGATCACACGGGTACCTCGTTCTTCATTCTATCTCACGTTATGCTCAAGTATACGCCGGTACAATTATTTTATCCTGCGCTGACTTTGCTTCTTTGTAGGTTTTCCTTGAATGGAATAAAGGTCCCTTGGAATCCTATCTAATCGAAATCACTGCCGGCATACTGTCCTTCAAAGATGCTGATGGGTCCTCAATGATCGATCACATTTTAGATACTGCTGGGCAGGTGAGCTGACAGTCTGTATCAACCTCTGGCACCTTTTCATTTGATTACTGAGTGCTTCTCCGTTGTTGTTGTTGTTGTTGTTGTTGCTGCTGCTGCTGCTGCTGTTATTATTATTATTACTCCAGTTTGTATTTTCTTGGAATGCATGTTATTCGGGTTGCCTGTATGCTCTCTGAATGAGTACTTCCTTACCAAGGACGGTAGTAACACAGACGAATTATTCCCGACTTTGATGTCTGCAGCAACTTTTGTGCACACTGTGTTCATTTTCATGACCTCCAAATCGCTACAGTGTCCTGCCACTTTATTGTCAACTTCCAGTTAGTTCCCATACCACCCTCGACTTCGGTACCCATGTGCTGATTAACTCTGTTCCTATCTCCAAACTCTGTTTTCAACACTGCATAACTCTCCTGATTTTTTACTAACTCCCTCCTCCCGTAGACCACTGAACTTGTTGCGTTCAGCTAAGCTAATGACTAGGTTGCCTCCACAACCACTCAGTATCGCTCTCCTCCGTTGCCTCTCTTGTGCTTGCATGGAAAGCCCAGCCGTTAGAATCCCCAAATTTTTTTTCTCTGGTTGCTAACCGAGTGACATTCGACTAGATGCACTTGTTTCGATTAGTGCTTTATAAGGCTGTCGCTTGTGCGCTTTGATGCCTGTATGAATGTTGGTTGCGTCGTCATGACGACGATCTGCGTTCGCATGTGCCCCTTTCAGCCCATCCATTTTGAATCCACCGTATGTGAGCGGATACCAGCTTAATAGCTTTCTGTCCATTGCATTCACTCTGCTGCTTCTTCGTACTTTTACACGCCCTTCTACTTCACTGTAATTGTAATCGACACATTCGACGTTAAATCGTTTAAGTCCCCATCTGTGGTAAAGGAACAATCAGTTCCTCAGATTCTCCACTAAGCTTGCTGAAGTCAAAACCTGTGTTCAGTTCTCCAATGAGTGCCTTGAGCGTAATAAATATCCTATCAGATTTTGGAATCAGGTAGGCTGTGATCGGGCTTATCCCAATAGCAAGACGCTTAGATGGCACGTGCTAAACCAGCTTGACACAGTGCAGTCAATTATTGCTGAATTCAAAAGAAATCTAGCACAACGCGACACGGTAACGGGGGAGTTAGCCGAAAGTAAAAAAAGCCTTTTTTGTACTCTGTTGAGTCTATTATTACAGCGGAGGCGTGTTTCTCTAACGACGTCGGTGAGCCAGCTGATTTCGCAAGCTGCGTTTCAAAACAGGCCAGATAGGTTTGTACACAACTCTTTTAGTTTGAAATAGGACACAACTGCAATCCAAGCTTTATCGCTTGGCCTAAAATTTTGTGCTACTAGATGCAGGCTCGATTATGAGCTGCAGTTTGAAAGTTGGTCGCAAATTTGAATATCGATCTAGTACACTTTAATTGCCTTTTGCTGAAATGCTACTTACTACTAATCTCGTAAACATCACGTCCGTAATCATGGCCTGTGTCAACTATGCACTTGAGTATCGATTCGTAAACACAGGGCCTCACATGATTGGTTGAAAATGACCTTACCTTACTTTCCTTATTTCATTGGTTTTTCTTTCCGGCTTTCTTAGCCACTGTAACACAGGATGCTTTTAGTAAATCGGTTCCATACTACGCGTGCGCGTTCTTTTCCGTTTATCGGCTTAGGGTCATACTTAACGTTCTGGCGACAAGGTTACACTACTGCTATGTTGCACCTTCGTACACTACTTTGGTAGATTCCTTCTGAGAAACCAACGCCGGCTACTTGTAGCCGCTGGAAGCGCACTTTTTTGGATTCTTCGGAGCTACTACCCGTCTTGCAACCAAACACGGTGCTCTCATAGAGTCACAAAATTAAATTATTGAGACAATTTTATGAGCATGAAGGCCAAAGACATTTTGATGCCCTCCATGTCGGTAAGAAGGAGACAGTCAACAGCGCGCTAGTAGTCCTCAGCGGGTTATGGGGTTCACGACTAAACACATACGCTGTGCGGTATTCTTTCTCGATGTTGCGTCAAAACCCTGAAGAATGTGTCATTGATTTAATTGTGCGGATTCAGCAAGCCCTATCAGGAAGTCGGTATGGTGAAATTCCAGTTACGAAGTTCGTAGAGGTGATGGCTTTACACTGCTTGATATCCGGTATCCGTAAGGAACAGGCTCGTGAAAGGTTGTTGTCGGAAGATGAGACGACCATGAGCTGGGAGAAGGCCTGCGATATTGTTAGACAGCTGGAGAATGTCCATAAGCAGTTAGCAGCTTTTTCCTCGCAACCTCATACACAGTCCAAGCAGTCGACCGAAAAGATGTTACTGCGAGACGGTCCGAATTGCCTTTTGCCTGTTGCCGATGTGGAAGTCAGCATTTATCAGCCGAGAAATGTCGTCATAAACAGAGTATTTGCCCTCAATGTGGAAAATTAGGGCACTTGGCCCGAGTTTGCCGACCTAATGCTTACACAGCCGCGGCATCACGTTTTCCCAAGAAACTCGTGAAGGTCATCAAAGCTTCAGACGTAGAAGATCAGCTAAACACGGCCTGGAACGCAACGTCGAGCATCCGCAGCATTCACCCACCTTACACTGTGCAATTGGAAATAGAAGGCCAGTTGGTTAAAATGGAAGTTAACACCGGTGCCTCAGTTATCATAAGCAGTGCTGCCTCAGTTAAAAAATTACCCAAGTTATCCCCCTGTGAACTAGCTTTGCGTACGTACACTGGACAGCCGATAACAGTGCTGGGAAAATGCACTGTTTTTGTAATTTACCATAAGGAAAAGCGGACCTTACAGGCATATGTTATGGAGAATGATTGTCCGAACTTGCTCGAGCGCGACTGGATTAAATGCCTTCAGGCAACAATAGAAACAATGAAGTTCATGTTCATTAAACGGCGCTTGGGCGATGTGCTCAACAAATATTCTGACGTTTTTGATGAGAAACTAGGGAAAATGCACGGATTTTAGGCTAGGATCAAATTACGGCCGGGTACTCAGCCTCTCTTTTTCAGGGTACGAACCCTACCTTAATCCCTTTGATCAAAGGTGGAAGACGAGATAAAGAGATTGCAATCAGCAGGAACCATCGAGCCAGTCCAATAGTTCCAGCCCTGAAGCCGGATGGTTCTGGGCGTATTTGTGGTGACTATAAACTAACTTCTAATCGTTGTTCGCTTCGGGATAATCATACCTGAACTCGGATAGAGGCTCTGTATACTACGCTGCTAGGCGGACAAAAGTTTACACGGATCGACCTCAGTCACACGTACTTACAAATTGAGTTAGACGAGACTTCTCGCTCATGCACTACGATAAGTACACACATGGATCTATTCCAGTACAAACGTCTGCCCTTTGGAATAAGTTAGGCCCCAACGATATTTCAAAGGATCATTGACAAATTGATCAAAGATATTCATTATGCTTGCGCCCATTTTGACGACGTTCTAAGCACAGGACGTACAGATGCTGAACATTTACAAACGCTGTCCACTGTGCTCGAACGTCTACAACAGAGTAGACTCAAACTAAAGAGGTCCAAATGTACGTTTTTTCTCAGATTCCGTTCGTTACCTTGGTTACCGCCTCGATAAAAACAGATTACACGTGTTAGAAGGCAAGGTCAAGCCCATGCTCTCTGCCCCTGAACCCAAGGATGAAGCTGAACTCCGATCGTTTTTAGGGATTTTTTTATCACTATCGTCGCTTCTTGCTTGACGCCTCAACAGTATTTGCACCCTTATACGAACTGTTGCACAAGTGGAAGTCCTGGACTTGGGGTCCGAATCAAAGAAAGGCCTTCACAGATGCAAAAAGGGTGCTCAGCGCCTTCCCGTATCCCGTGCATTTCGATCCGAGTCGGTCTCTAGTGTTGCATTGTGATGCCTCCCCACACGGAGTAGGCGCAGTCCTTTGCCACCGGACGGATGACGGTTCTCTTCGTCCAATCGCTTTTACTTCTCTTACCTTGCAACCCGCTGAAATGAATTACTCCCTACTGGACAGATAGGCTTTAGCGATTATTTTCGGAGTCAAGCATTTCCACCAGTATGTCTGGGGTTATCATCATCACCATCATTATACACGTTAGCTAGAGGTGGGAAACACTTCAGCTACTGTGCCGCAGTACATAAAAGAAAAAGTGAAAAATGCAACAGGTGCAAGCCAGCTGAGCTACCGGTCACGAATGGGCAATGTTCCGGCAAGCTACCAGCCGGCTATTGTGCATCAAAAAATTACTATGCAAAATTATATAAGGCTAAGTAGTGAGCTCGGGGTTGGAGGGGGAGACTAAGAGGGTTGTGGTGGGGCAAAATAACTCACAGCACGATCACCATTGAGGTTGCCTCCTTGCCATGTCAGTAAGTGTATCCAGCCAAATGTGTTCATCGTCTTTCGGACCCCAACCATGGAGCCGCGACGCTCCAACCGAGGCCACCTTCGAAGTGAGGGTTTTCATTCCTCTCGACCAAGTAATCGCTTGGCAACCCCGGCTCTTCTTACATCCACACCCCCAGCGCGTAAACAACGCACATCGCTGGAGTCGGTGGGCTAGCATGGGTAGCACGTGGTCAAGCCATGGGAGCTTGGTGTGTGAAATAATGGTACTGAGCGGTTCATTTCCTTTTCCTGTACGGTAAACAAGGTGTCGAACACGCTCGTTGCTCAATCGGTGTTCCCACCAGGTGTGAGCTAAATTGCGAAGGCACGGTGGTCGAACGTAACCAGCCTCTTTATGTCCGCTGCATTAAGCGGCCAGGTTTCACAACCGACAGTAGGGTTAAACGTACCATTGCATTGTACACTACCTCACAGGTCAAGAGTGATGTCGCGCCGGCGCCATAAGTGGCGAAGGTTAGCAAAAGCGCCACGAGCTTTTGCTATACGGTTCGTGATCCCATCTTCAATCCCACGGGCACTAATACAACTTCCCAGGTAGTTGAATTTCTGAAGGACTTCTAGCTGATCCCCACCAAGAGCCAGCGCAAGATGCAATCCAG